TCCCGCAAGCCACAAACAGCCACTGGGTGACTGTGGCAATCACTCCCTTCCAGCCTGACCCACTGCACAAGGCAGCTGTAAGAATAAGTTGAAGAAGAGGCACGATATAGGTCGCCCACTCCACGGGGTTGGAAGAAATACTATTAATCAAACTGGATTACTTGTCAATAAAGAGGTGAAAAGAACTTTATAACCTATTGAATCCTAGTTCGAATCTCAAGACGGAAAACCCACAGATCCTACTGCAGAGAGAGACTAATCACCACCACGAGGAAGTATTTACCTTGCTCAGTGTCGACCAAGAGCCCCCATTCAAAAAGCCAGACTGCTCTCAACTGAAGATGGAGACAATTGATGAAAAAGTTGGCAGCACTCCGGCAATAGAAACTTGCACCTGGCAATAAAAGCCTACACCTGACTCTGATTGGTCAGAGCGGCCCAGACAGACTTCCTGAACATTCCGAAGGCTCCGTTCCTCCAATGAGAGGAGAGAGACCAGCTCGCCGCCTCGTTGGCTGCTCAGTGGAGAAAGGTAGAGATTCAACCGGTGAAGAGCCGTAGTTGTTCTGCTTCTATTAATGCTTTTCACCTGGTCATCTTTTTTAACAAAAAGCAATCACGGGGGGACCTGATCCAGATGGGGAGGTGGGTTCCACCTGGCCCTGCATCGTTTTCTGTGTGTGTGATTTCCCGACCCTATTTTAATTTTTCTATACAGTACTTGGAAATATACATCGCCCTTTTCTGCAACAGTACCGTATAATGCTTGTGATACCCCGTGGAACGTAGTGCACAAAATGACAGGTCTGAGTTCGAATCCTTACACACAACCATGGAAACCCAAACTCGCGGGGGTGGGGTGTCGCTAGTAAAACGCACCCTTGGGAGCCTCAGGAGGGTCGCTGTCAATCAGTTCTGATTTGAGGGCACATAACAATGCTTGTGGTTAAAGACATGTTGTCAGGGCGTTCAGAGGCTTGGCTAATTTGGTCACCCCTACCCCCCCTCCCATTCCAGGCTCATCAGCACGGACAAGTCGTAATGTTAAGCTAAAACTAGCCCATACTGCCTCCACCACTTCTGTTTATCCAAGAGTAACCAGATAAAAAGCAGACAAGGTTCTTGTACCTTTCATACTTGTTTAGAAACACACATTTCAAAAGGCAACATTTTTTTAAAGCAGGCTGTTCCAGCTGAAACTTCCTCTCCAGAGCAACCATTAAAGGCACAATTCTCTGCATCCCATTGCAGAGGAAACTCCAGTTAGATAGACTCCTTTTGCTTTTCCAAAGTTGGGTGTGATCCAGATAGCCATCACTGTGTGGAAGTCGTGTAACATACTGTGCTGTGTAATTCATATGCTGAGCTTGGTATACTTTACTAAAGGTACAGGAAGGCAGCCCCTCTTTTGTCATCTGGTGATCCTCTGAACCCGTCTAGTCTGGATGAAGTGACCCAGAGAAGAAGTGAGCTTGCTATACTTTTTGTACTCTAGGAAAGAATAGCAAGCTAAAGAGCAATGATTTCAGAAAACCTGAAACCAAGTAGTAGAATCCATGATTTTTTTAAAAAAACACCTCATCTTTCAGTAGCAGAGTCAAGAAGCTTACTGTAAGTGAGAATAATCAATGAAATTTACACCCTAGCTTTGCAAACTGTACAATGGGGCTCCTTTCACAAAAACAGAAATCAGGATCTGTCAGGAGAGCTTGAAATAGTACATTCCACTGAAAGCAAATACAGCATCATATTGTTCCCATGGGACCCAAGCTGAGATCCATGAAGGATTTGGCAGAAACTCATCTGCTTGACTCTTGAAGTTCTGAACTGCTGATAACACAGATGATGGCTGTTAAGTTAGCTCTGTATTGCTCTTGCTCTCAAGTTAGCAGTTTTCTCAGAGCTCTTGAGACAACAGCTTTAGCATGGTGTTATTTAGTCATTAAGTTGTGTCTGACTCTTTGTGACTCCATGGACCAGAGCACGCCAGGCCTTCCGGTCTTCCACTGCCTCCTGGAGTTGGGTCAAATTCATGTTGGTAGCTTTGAGGACACTGTCCAACCATCTCGTCCTCTGTCGTCCCCTTTTCCTCTTGCCTTCACTCTTTCCCAACATCAGGGTCTTCTCCAGGGAGTCTTCTCTTCTCATGAGATGGCCAAAGGATTGGGGCATCAGCTTCAGGATTTGTCCTTCCAGTGAGCACGCAGGGTTGATTTCCTTCAGAATGGATAGGTTTGTTCTCCTTGCAGTCCATGGAACCCTCAAGAGTCTCCTCCAGCACCACAATTCAAAAGCATCAGTTCCTGGTAGCAGAACCAAATTTCTTCAAATAATAATTTAATCATAGTAATCTTAGAACTGCAGAGCTGGAAGGGCCCCTATGAGTCATCAAGTCCAGCCCGTGTCAAAGAGGCACAACTGGGGACTGGAATCGAATTCCCAATCTTTGGCTCCACAGTCAGAGGCCTAAACCACCGAGCTATCCAGCAGTTCAATAGGTGTTTAGCACCTGGTGAGCAGCAGCACCCACCCCATTTTATTTCTGTAGTAATGGTAGGGATGTGAATTAAGCCATTCTAAAATCTGAAACTGTACATTTTTCAAGGGAGGTGAATAGGAGGTCTTAGCTTCCGTTTTAATTTGGAGGGTCACATACCCCCATTGTCAGATATCTGAAGAATGTATCCACTCCTATGCCCCCACCTGTTTTTTCCCCTTTAAAAACTAGGTTTTAAATTGAAAAAAAGGCCACTCATATCTTCGAGTGACCAAAATAAATATAAGTTAAACGCTTTATAAGCTGTATGTCTATATTAATGGCCCCCATGTTTTCCTGGACAGTACAAAGGGATTATGGGCCCAATTTCTAGTCCCAAATTTGATCACTCTACTTTTCTCCCATTAACTCCTACCTCTCACTTCTCTTGTAGAGTTTGCAGTTTCAAATAGGGCTTTTAGCTGCTCTTACAGTTTTATTGCTTCATGATTGTCATATCCCTTTAACTCCATAACAGGAAATAATAAATATTTGTTTTAAAATAAATAACATTTTAATGGGCTTTGACTTGTAGGATCAAATCGATTCTGAATGATCTCCGGGGGCAAAAAAAGTTGAAACTGAGGTTGTCCTGTTTGGGGCACATCATGAAAAGGCAGGATTCTCCGGAAAAGACAGTATTTCTGGGAAAGGTGGAAGGCAGCAGGAAAAGGAAGACCAAATGCGAGATGCATTGACTCCCTAAAGGAAAGCACAGGCTTGAGCTTGCAAGTGCTGAGCAGGACTGTTGAGGAGATTTTGAAGATCGCTGATTCATAAGTTGGGGATGATGGTGACAGCACATAACAAGAATAAGTTTGAAACCTTTGGTAGGGACATGGGAGAGGGCCTTCTCTATCACTGCATCCAGACTCTGGAACTCCCTCCCACTGGCTCAATCTTTGCTGTTCTTCTGCAAGTGGACAAAGACCTTTCTCTTCAGATAGGCTTTCCCTTAGTGATTGGCTGTCCGAGAAGGGTTTTTAAATGGTATGTTGTGCGTTGTTGTTGTAAATGTGTTTTTGGTGTTGATTTTGTTCACACTTTTTATGTGAACAATACATAGTGTGTATTTGCTTGATTCTTTTAAAAATATTTGTATACACTTGCTGTATTTAGCTTTTAAATAGTGTTTTTTAATGATGTAAGCCACCTTGGGTCCTTTTAAAGGAGAAAGGCAGGGTAAACATATTCTAAACAAACAAACAATCAAATAGTGAGTGCCTGTGCCAAGCTGTCATGGCTATGTAGAAGCAAGAAGAAAAGTAACAGCAGTAATATCTCTTTCTCTCTCTTTTTACAGGTGAGGTAGGCAAGATTTGAGAGCTTGGGGATCAAGTCAAGCCCCTGTCCCCATTAAAGGCCAAACCAGGCACAGAAATGGCAAAAGTACCCATAATAAAAGCAATCTTGGTAATCCACCAATGTCTGGAGGGCCAAAGGTTGCCCACCCCTGCTATATGTCAATGCTGGGGGGGGGAACAACACAAACAAGGTAGTGACACAAAACTATTTCCAAATTAAACTTTATTTTCCCACTTAAAAGCAAGCATGCACCATTTGAGATGCACAGACACAGCAGAAGCAAATACACCTGCAAAAAAAGAAGCCTTAAAATACACTTTCCTAGATTTAAAAAATGTGTCAAACAATTAAAAACAAGAGTGGATTTTTCATATAGGAAATCCATCTCTTTTGCTTGTGTAACAACTCCAGGGGCAGACCAATTCTTCCTCATCTCATTTCATTTCAAAACGTTGAGAAGGTATTTTTCCAAATCCAGCAGGGCTGACTGGGGGGATTCCGAGAATGACATTTTGTGGTTTTTTAAATAAATAAATATATATATACAGTATATATTTCATTCAGCACTTCAGACTAAATCCCCATTCCCTCACTTGAAGAAAGGGTCGGATGGTCTCTCCAGAAAATGATCCTGCCTGGAAAGTGAAGATCAGGTTGCTGGTATCGGCATCCAAAAAATCCACCTGACCTCCCTCATAATCCAAGATGATGATGATCCTAATAGGTTCTGCCTTCACCATCAGAGGAGTTGGGTCAGGTGAGGTTAAGGCCACAATTTCGCGAGACGAATGCGTGTCCTGGAAGGACTTCCTCAGGGCCCAGAAGCCTTCCTCGGGATGAAACTGCAGAGACCCCTTCCTCTTGACCGAGTCCCTCACGACCCCCACAGCCCAGCTTCCTACCCCTGATACCTCCACCACCCACCAATTTATTCCTGAGGTAAATTTTTCACATCCCAGCACACAGGTTTCCCAGTCAAATCTTTCAGGGTTGTTTGGCATACTTCTTTTCTTCCATTCCCTCCTCTTCTTCTTTGATTCCCAGGTGACCATCTTCAGGTCTTCAGAAAGAACCAGGTAGGGATGGGCTGTGTCTTGATCCAGAGTTATGCTCACTTACAGGACAGAGAGAAAGCAAAATGGTTGGATGAGCACAGGGAAAGGGTCAGGGTCAAGTAACACAGTAAGGGAACTGAGTATTTCGTCTTATTATCTTTTCTTATATACAGTGGTGCCTCGCTTAATGAGCACCCTGTTTAACGATGAATCCGCATAAGCAATCACATTGTGATGTTTTATATGGCCAAACATCGGTTTGCGATGATCGGTAAGCATTTTGCTTACCGATTTTCACTTAACAATGTTTAAAAAACAGCTGATCGGCGGTTCCAAAATGGCCACCAGAAAAAAATGGCCACCCACAGCGTTTTCACGCCCTTTCCTTGCTTATCGGGCAGCGTAAATGGCGGCCGGATGGAGGATTTCCACATAGCGGTGAGTTTTTTCCCCATAGGAACGCATTAAACCATTTTAATGTGTTCCTATGGGGTTTTTTTGCCCCGCATAGCAACGAATCCGGATAGTGATGATTTTTTCGACACGGATTATCGTCGCTATGCGGGCACCACTGTACTCCAAAACTCCATGCCTGAGCAATCAGACATGCAAATGAGGCCCACATTTACCTCCTGGTGACCAATCCCAATGTAACCAAAACAAGGGTCAGTACTATGGGTTTTTGAAGCACTTTATATATATTAGCTCTGTAATCTTTTTCCCATTTCTGTAGAGACAACTGGTTTGACCCTATAGTGGGGAGAAAAGGGGTTACTGGAGGGCAAAGAGTGTGTCACACTCTTTGCCACAATACCACCACACTGTGCACTGCTCACGCTTCAGTCTCTGTATCTTCATTTCTCAACTATGGGTCCATTCTTCTCAACTATGGGTCCAGTCTCCTCCAAAGAGCACAAAATGACCCGCATAGACACACTGTGCACTGCTCACGCTTCAGTCTCCGTATCTTCGTTTCTCAACTATGGGTCCATTCCATCTTACTTCCAAAGAGCACAAAATGACTTGCATAGATTTTCCCCTACTTTATTCTCAAAACAACCTCATAAGGTGAGCCAGGCTGAAAGACAGCCCACTAGTCTATGGCCACCCAGGCCAATGTCACCGTTTCAATGAGGACCAGAATCTAGATCCTCCGAATTCCAAATCTACACTGACCATTGCACCCATACCTCCTCTCCACAATTTCCAGACCTCTAAAAGTTTCCTCATGTCCCTTTCTGTCAAATACTTACCTTTGTTTGCAGTTGGTTTCAGATTCTCTGTTAGAGGAATAAAAAGGTGACAAATTTAAGAGTCAGACCATAGTCAAGAACAAAACAAAACAAAACAAAAGCCTGTCACATCGTATGCATCCTGACGACGAGTGTTTAAATAAGGATATTAAATTAACTTGATTAATTCTGTCAATACAATCAAGTATTTGCTGGTATTGTTTAACTCAGAAGATCTCCAGCAGGTCTCAGAAAACCATCTGGATCCATGTACCTCCAAGGTGGTCTAGGCTTATCTGGTTCTTAGTCCTTCAAGAGGAGTTAAGAGATTAATTTGTTCTGCTAAATTTCATGTGTTTTGAATACCCCTTCTATTCTTTTTATCTATTTTTTCCAGTTTTAATTACAGTGGTGTCTTGCTAGACAGTTACCCCGCATGACAGTTTTTTTTGCTAGACATTGACTTTTTGCGATCACTATAGCAATTTGCAAAACAGTGATTCCTATGGGGGAATTTCGCTGGACAATGTTTGGTCCCTGCTTCGCAAACCGATTTTCACTAAACAACGATTTTGACAGCTCCCTCTGCGCTGGCAAAACGGGTGTTTTCGGGACCTAAGCTTCGCAAGACAGCTATTTAAACAGCTGATTGGCGGTTTGCAAAGCAGCTTTCCTATGGCTGATATTCGCTAGACAACGGCGATTCTTCCCCATTGGAACACATTAAACAGGTTTCAATGCATTCCTATAGGGAAATGCTTTTTGCTGGACAATGATTTCGCTAAACAGCGATTTTAGTGGAACGGATTATCGTCGTCTAGTGAGGCACCACTGTATATTGTTGTAAAGCTTTTTTCCTACCCCAAAAGCACTATCAAAATGCATTCATAAATTGGACCTGATTGCAACATAATTTTTTAAAAAAATTATTTTCGTAGAATCATAAATCTCAGAACAGTGATGTTGGAAGGGGCCTACAAGGCCATCAAGTCCAACCCCCTGCTTCGTGCAGGAATACAATGAAAGCATATCTGCCAGGTGATTATCCAAGTTTTTCTTGAATGCCTCAAAAGTGTTGGAGCACTCACCAACTCTCAAGGTATCTGATTCCCCTGTCTTACTGCTCTAACAGTTAGGAAGTTTTCCCTGGTAGTCAGCTGAAATCTGGCTTTCTTTAACTTGAGCCCATTGTTGCATATCCTGCACTCTGGGATGATCAAGAATAGATCTTGCACCTCCTCTGTAGGACAGCCTTTCAAATGTTTGAAATTTGGACATCATCTTTCTCTTTAAAAAGGACCCAAGGTGGCTTACATCATTAAAAGACAATATTAAAGCTAAAACCAATACTAAAATACCAGACCAAAAAAATGGTAAATAAAAGCAGCACCAAAAACAAGTGCAAAGCAGTAAGGCACAACAAATATATAATGCATTCTGCTATAGCTAACACACACACTTAAGTTCACAGTATGTAGATTTGTGAAATCTTATGTGTAATATCTCAGATATTCAGTCCCATCAAATTCAGTGGGTCTTGCACTCCCAGAATAGTGCATGCATTTAATGTTAAGAAATCCTGAATGAATTGAGGGAGGCTGGAGAACAAGTTCCCAGCATCAACATACAGTGGTGCCTCGCATAGCGATCGCTCTGTTTAGCGACAAAATTGCTTTGCAATGGACTTTTTGCCATCGCAAAAGCGATCACTTTGTGATGGTCCCTATGGGCTATTTTTGCTTTGCGATGATCGCAGGAAAGCGATCATCGCAAAGCCTCCATTTTCAGCCAGCTGATCGGCGGTTTCAAAATGGCCGCCGGGAAAAAACATGGCCGGCCACTGTGTTTTGCACGGATTCCTCGCTTTAGAGGCACCGAAAATGGCGGCGCTATGGAGGATCTTCGCTTAAAGGTGAGTTTTAAGCCCATAGGAACGCATTAATCGTGTTTTAATGCGTTTCTGTGGGCTTTTTTATTTCGCTTAGCGATGTTATCTCTTAGCAGCGATTTTTTCGGCACGAATTAACATCGCTAAGCGAGGCACCACTGTACAAGACTTCTCTTGTAACTGAACCCAAGCACCGTCTCTGATCCAAATTCTTGTTTTTCAGCCTCAAGGAATTACCTGGCTTCACAGCTTCTGGCAACTTGCAGGGGTTCAGAGTTTTCTCCAGATACTCTGTAAAAGACAGGAGGGGAAGATGACTCTCAGACCACCTTACACCGATATACTGTAAGTAAGATGTCCTTCTGTGATTATCATACTCATATATGAAACAATTCTAATTTTCACCAGCACTTAAGTTTAATAGCAAATTGCACCAAACCATAATTTACAATGTTAAAAGTCCGTGTTAAAAGGAAGAACATGACAGAGAATGAGGGAATTGGGATACAGGAAGGAAAAAAAAATCCATATTCCTCCTATCCTTCTATGAAGGTTTTCCCCCCTAACTGGGACAGAGACCCTGGAGGGAATAAGGGTGTTGTGCTGACTGATTTACATGAGGGACTGTCAAATGAGCAGTCTGTAGATTACCTTTTGACTGTATTTGCCTCAATGCTCTCCCAAAATGTAATTTAAAAAAAAAGAATAAAACTAGGAGAAGCAAGCTCCAAGATGCTACAAGTTCTCCTATAAATAAATAAGCAGAAATCCCACGCACAGCCCCAGGGTGCCCTCAGAAGAAGCCAATGGTTAACCTCTTCTGTGTGTTCTCTACCTAGAAAATTGCCGAAAGGGTCACCCTAAGTCAGAGTTGACTTGACAGCACATCATGAGGATGATGTTCAGGCGACCAAGCACGAAACAAAGCAAACTAAGCTAGTTTGCAAACAACATGAGACATGAAGAGCTCCTATTGTGATAATCGGATGATTTCACCACTTAACGGATTTACCACTTTCAATGATTGGCATACGCCGGCATCCCATTTCTGATGAACTGCAGAGAATAGTCCATTCCACATGGGGTTCCTCTTTCCCTAATGTTTGCCTGAGGAGAAATCCACAAATCCCTTGGGCAGGCATAACAGCCTGTTGCTTTCAATGGGGAAATCTCTGGTGTGGGTAACTGCAAGCTAACACAGAGTGCTCCACTACAGGTTAGTTATGCTCTATGCTTAAGAGGAGGACTCAGTGAATGGGTTGATCCTGATGCAGCATCTGGTGGAAAGACAGGTGACTGGGTGGTTGTTTCACATTAGGAGGAGGACTCAGTGAATGGGTTGATCCTGACACAGCATTGGTGGAAAGAAAGGCGACTGGGTGACAAAAGGTGGTTGTTTCACATTAGAAAGAGGGAAGATGAGCATATGGTCCAGCTGGGATCTTTGCTCATTCACCACATATGGAATAGTACTAAACATACCGTATGTTACTTAACGAAACCATTTAAATGCTACATTTCAGCTATCAAAATGAAAGCTAGTAAAAACGGAGCCTTCTTACTGCTTGCACATTTCTGAAGTTCTTATTGCTCGTGGTGTTGGTTAAGGAAGGCATTTAGACTTAGCACTGGATGAATCAGGCCCACTGGCGAACTCTAAGGATAATTGCCTTATGTGTAAAGGCCTCTCTCTCTACTGAATGTGAAAGCATGGGGGTGAGAAGGGGAGGGAGAAGAGGCTGCTTCCATCTTTTCTCCTTCCTACTCTTAGCAGCAGGAGGGTTCTAGTCCCCCCCTTCCCTTGAAGCTTGCTATTTAGCATGCTCTGTTGTGATTGGTCATCAGAAGGTAAACACAGACTTCATTTGCAAGCAGGACTACTCAATCACAAAACTCTACCAGAATCACATATTTGAAATGCTAGTAGGTTTCTCCCTTCTAAGAACAAGACAGGGTGCATATACAGCATAGCAGAGACCTGGATCCATGGTCCTGCTTTTCCCCCAATACCTTTATAATCATCCACAGCCTTTTGTAATTCAGAGGTTTTCAAAAAAGAAAATCTGATTCTTTCTTCCAAGTTGGCAGAAAGGTCCACTTTAAACGTTACTAAGTTCTTCTCGTACCTAGAAAAGAATATGGTTACATTTGATGGAAGAAGAAACAGAATGTCATTCATTTTCTTGTTAATTCTGCAATATGAAATAGCAGCCTGGGCTCCAAAACTGAATAACCATTTAAGCACCAGTGCTCTTTTCCGTCACCTTGAAGTTTGCAATCTTTTGCATAAATGGCTCCTAATTCAGTCTGTTTCACCTCGGATGGATGGAAAAGGTGGGAAAATTCAGGTCTGGTCCAAAACATTTTGCTACATGAGGAAGAGAAGCAAATCACACACATTCATCCTGAAGATACTGTACGCTCTGCCGAAGGGAACTAATTTGCTTTGATACACGAGACTGAATAATTGGAAGCATCTCTCCCCATCAGGAGTATTAAAATATAAAATTAAGGAATTAACTTCTGTCCTTTCATGACACCCCAAATCTGCTTCCAGAAACAGCCTTGTCTAATGGTAGAACCTGGCCAGAGGAGCCACTGTAGATGGCCTCCACCTAGTGAGTGGAATGAAACTTAATGGATTAGAATTTTTTTAGGGAGGAACTGCAGAGATCTGCATCAAGCTTAAGACTGAGATTCTTTACTGTGGGAGACAACTGGGTGTCCACCAGTCTGCAGTAATTCCTTTGCTGCTCTTTGTTGGAACAAGAAAGAGGCAATTTTTAAAAAAACATGAGGAGTGCTGGAGGAGTACAAAGCAGTCTGTGGAACTCCTTGCCACATGATGTGGTAATGGCACCTGGCCTAGAGGCCTTGAAAAGGGAATTGGACAGATTTCTGAAGAAGTCCATCACAGGTTACAAGCCATGATGGGAATGTATAATCCCCAGGCTTAAAAGGAAAGTACCTCAAAATGCCAAATGCAGGGGAGGGGGATCAGGAGACAGAGATCTAGTTGTCTCGTGTGCTCCCAGAGGGATCTGGTGGGGCCCCTGTGAGATACAGGGAGCCAGACTAGATGGGCCTATGGGTTGACCCATCAGGGCTCTTGTTATGTTCTTATGGACTCCTTGCTTAATGGAAGGACATATACCAGGTATTCAGAAACTTCCAGTTTCTATTAAATGTCTTCAGATAACTCAGGCTAATGAAAAGCTACGGGCAAGTAAGGGGGAATTGCTTTCAACCACAGGACACACCCTGGACAACTAGCCTTTCTCCATCTGTCATGGCCCCAGTCTGACTAGCGGAAAAAAGCCCCACTTGATCTCTGTAAATATATTCAACAAGAGCCTAGAAACTTTACTTTTTCTGGATCACAGTTCCCAGAATCCCCTAGCGAGCATGTTACAAAACGTAGTATTTCCAAGCTCCAGATACAACTATAACTAGATGTGGCTTAATTTTTAAGTGGGTTTGACGTCCATAGCAAGAAAGGCCAGACAGAGTGGGAAAGGGAGGGAAAAGGGGAGAGACCCAAATCTCAATTGCGAGGGGAAACCACCGTGCGAGTCGCAAGCAGTGTCACATTTATCATGCTAAACTTGTTGTGTGTTTTCAAAAGATTTCCCAGTTGTCCCAAAATATTTCTATCCAAAGAGAAAGGCAAACAGAAATGGGAACAATCATATACCTGTTCAAAGCTTGCCTGGTTTCCTGAAAGAGAGAAACAGGTCTTAGCTACAGAATTAATGTCTGGCTTCTTCTCTTCCTGTCAGAAAATCCGTTTTCCTAATCATCTCGTAGAACTGCAGAGCCGGAAGGGACCCTATGGATCATCCAGTCCAACCCCCGTCAAGAAGGCACAGTTGGGGGATCAAATCCCCAGCCCCCTAAACCACAGAGCTATCAGACCGTCCTCCCTTTCTTGTCTGTAGAAAGCAAGCTGTTCTTCCCAAAATCAGGTCCTCTCAAAAGTTGTCTTTTTAGAGGTTGCCTAAATTTTTGTTTTTGGATGGCCGCTCCCAGAATTCTGCGGCCTGGGGGAATTCTGAGAGCTGATAGTCCAAAAACAGACATCGGCAGGCATAGCTTGGAATTTTAAGTCTCACCTCTAGCAATTCATTAGCTGGCGACTGGGATGCCTCTATCTCTGTCATCAGCTTTTCCATCTCTGCCATGTGCTGACTGAGTCGGAAAACGTCTTCAGAGATCCCCACGATGTTTTCCTCTGCCTTCTTCTCCATCTCTTTCTTGATCTCTTGCAGGTTAGCAAGCCAGCACTGCCTCTTCTCCTCCAGAAGCATCTGCATGCTGTCAAAAGCGAAGTTGACTTTCTCCTCCTTCAGCGCCAACAGTTTCTATAGAGAATATACAGAGAAATTAAAGGAAGAATGGAAGTAGAAATGAGATAGTACCCAGAGAAGATAGTTACAAATCAGTGCAATTCAAATAGTGTTTGTTCCTACAAACACAGAACAGATATATCATTGATATCATCATCACCATCATCTTAGACCTGCAGAGCTGGAAGGGACCCAATGGATTATCAAGTCCAGCCCCTGTCAAGGAGGTCCAGTGGGGAATCGATCTCGTAACCTCTGGCTCCACAGCCAGATGCCTAAACCACAGAGCTATCCACCTACTCTGGATATGTTTTTACTAGAGTTTAGAAATTTTACTTTTTAAAGCCATTATTCATTGAACTCCATCAATCAACATGGCCATTGGCCACAGTGGCTGAGAATATGGGGATTCATTATGTTTTAACTCACTAAACGTATCCCGCGAAGATAGCTGTCGCAATGCAACTTATATTATTTTTTTGAGGTAGAGAGTTATATGCTTTTTGCTATGAAGGCAAACTGCATTTGACAATCAGCATTTCTGAAAACATTACTTTTTTGAACTACAGTTCCCAGAATCCACCAGCTACTATAACCATGGAGCACAGGAGTTGTAGTCTACAAAACAGGTTTCCTAATGTAACTCTCCATAGAAGAACAAGACTGTACATGTGCGCTGTGAGCTATCTTGTGCTTTGAGCTATAATAACAAATGAGTGTCTGTGTGTTCTGTGCCACCAAGTCAGAACTGACTTACAGTGACTCTAATAGGGTTTTCAAGGTAAGCGAGATATTTAAGGAGTGGTTTTACCAGTGCTGCTCCCCCAATGATTTTCGATGGCCATTGGGATTTGAACCCTGTTCTCCAGTCCATTGCTCTATCCCCTACACCAGTGGCCCCCGACCTTGGGCCTCCAGATGTTCTTGGACTTCAACTCCCATAAATCCTGCCCAGCAGAGGTGGCGGCAAAGGCTTCTGGGAGTTGTTGTCCAAGAACATCTGGAGGCCCAAAGTTGGGGATCACTGCCATACACCACACTGAGAATCTATAACAATGAATACTGACCCAATATTCCTGCCTTTGCAGTTCTTCAGACGCTTTATGACTCTCCAGAGCCTCTTTCTGTTTCTTCAGAAATTTCATGTATATGATGATTTCCTCCTGCAAAAATGAAGAAAAAGGGTGTATTTTCCCCATTATGAGACCTATCCAGTAATGTTGTTCAGATATTACTTTGCAAAAATCATATGTGATTTGAGAGTGTAGTTCTGGCAAATTGCTAAGAGGTACCTCACTTTCCATTTAATCCTTTAGAGAGAAAAAATCAGCTAGGTCTCCTGCAACTTTGCTTTCCACCCCCTTCTTTCCCTTCTCAAAATATACTGTATTGGGAATGAATACAGAGGACAGAATCCTGCTGGGATGGGCGTTTGTGAGAGTCCAGTCAGGTAGGCATTTCGTGGCATGTTACAAGTTTTCCATCTCACGCCCAGTCTTGCTCTGAGGGCACACTCTCTTGTGCAAGACACAGCTCATAAGAAGTGAAAACCAGCCGCACGACTCTCCTCCCACGTGTGGTATGCTACAACATGATTCTGGCCTAAGCATTAACACACTCCTCAATTGCAAGCTGTAATGAAGAATTTTAATTGCAACTTGCAACTTCTGTGTCATCCACTGCAAATACTAGAGACCTCAATGAGCCAGTCTGGTAAGGCTCCTGGGTTATAAAGAGGACAAAGTCAGAGATTTCCGCACCTAAACTTTATCAGGATAACTGCACAAAAACTTCCAAAGAGAAGACTTATTATGTGCTTATAGGAAGGCTATTTCCTATACCATTCCACCATGGGGGCATCCTCCCACCTTATACTCTTGAGAAACCTCTTCTATAGGAAGCACAATGTGCTGTCGGTGCTCCTTAGATCGGTCGCACACCACACAGATGGCGGCATTGTCATCCTTGCAGAAAAATTTCAGGGGCTCCTGGTGCTTTTGGCAGACTCCCCTCGTCCTTTCCACTGTTTCAGACACCCGGAGTTTTTTGACAAGCTGTACGATGTTTGCCAGCTGCCGGTTTGGCTTGAAGTTCCTTTGTGGGACCGGCTCTCCGCACTCAGGGCAGGAAACGCCTGCGCTGGACTTCCCGGAGACCTTGGTGAGGCAGGCTTGGCAGAAATTGTGCCCACAGTCAATCGTAACGGGCTCGTTGAAGGGCTCCAGGCAGATGTTGCACGTTGTTTCTTGACAGAACTCCTGAAGGAAGCCGCCGGCTGCCATGGATGTTCTTTCCTTGAAGTAAAAAGACAACTCCAGTTAAGAAGAATAGTGCCAGATTAGAACGAGGCCTACCCAGAGCGTGGTGGACTATGAACACTCAGATTTTTCTCAGCCTGCATAGCTGGCGGGATGTGCCTATGTGTTCTGTGGGACACTGCAGTCCCAAAATCCCATCTTCCTAGGGCCCCAATAGGCTCCCCCAATAGGCTCCAAGGGCCAACACCCCCTCCTTCAAGACATCAGTCTCTGGCATTTTATGGAGATTCCCCCCTACCTCAGGCTAACGTGATTCTTTTTAAGATTTAGGTATTGCCAGAAAATGCTTGAGCTGAGAAATATTCTGACACTTTTGGCCCTATCCATCACTGGGACGCAGTGTCTGCCCCTCCAAATTTTTCTGGAATTCAGTTTGGCGCTTGAGCTCCAAGAAAAAGATGTTTCACCCCTTGCCACAGAGTTTGACTGTGAGCTAACCAAGATGAGTGGTATGCACCGACACAAATGTACACACATCTAACCAAGATGTGAAGCACAGTTGTTGCTGGCACTTACCCATTACTGTTTAAAACACTCAAAAGCAGTGGTTTGGAAGAAACTTTTTTAAAAAATTAGACAAAAGCAAAATCCTCACCCCACCCCTTGGATGGGAGTGTTTTGTCTCCTCCTTTATATATACTGTATATGAACAAATTTGAAAGCAAACGTCTTATCCCCACATAAGAATGAAAGCACTTAATGTTAGGAGAAAGAGGTGCTGTTTTCTTACTTTCCCCTATGGATCAAGATTTGTTTTGGGGGGGGAATGTCAAGGCACTCTGCACATGCTCAAGAAGGCTTCCCCGCCATTACTTAAGGATACTACTAGATTTACAGGTGAAAACGAAATAAAAAGTTTTTAAAAAGACAAAAACATGGTGGCACCTTAGAGACTAACTTTTATGTTGTTGTTTTTTATGTGAGCGTTCCTAGGCAAGTCCACTTCGTCAGACATGAAGAGCAGACTTCGATTACTATGAAAACATGATGCTGGGACTTTCGACACAAATGAAGCAGAGCAGAGTCATACTTCTATCAGCTGAAGCACTCCCTACATTTAGAGTAATCAATATTATTTTAGGAGGGGAGGGATCTTCAGGCCCCTTCCTCCTTTGCTATCCATTTCCAGCCTTGAATTTAGCCAATGACCCTTGTTACCTGGGCTTATTTCTGCAAGAGAAAACTCAACACGTCCAAACAAGGCTCTCCTATGATCTCTTCCCTTCCCATCCCTTTAACATTGTAATTTGCCCAGCGCTGCCAACACTAAAAATTAAAATAAAATGCAGGTCCAGTGCCATACCTGTTCACCACCGCTGATGATGGAAGAGGGCTTCAAGGACCACCACTAACACCTGTGCCCCCCCTCCCCGAGAGGCTAGAAAATGCTCTGCCCTGATTAGTTAAAACCGGAGATGTGCCCTCCTTCCCAGGTTCTAAAAGCTTCCTTCCTCCAATCAGGAGAAGAGGACAGGTGTGGGTGGAGCAACCAGGAGCCCTTCTGCTTTTCTTCTTTAAGAAGGGTGGGGAGGGAAGAAGAAAACAGCTGGAGTCCAAATCCACCCTGTCTTTTGGGAGAGGAGCCAAAGTAAACTCAGCCAGAAGATGTATTGGGGGGGCAAGGGGTTAAATGCCCTGGCACCTATGTGGTTGTGGACAAGCTGGACAAGTGGCCCCAGAGTGCCAGAGGGAGAGACTGGTCACTCACTCGATCTGTAGTACAGCAGAGGAGAAAAAATCAATTCCAGATTATTAATCGAATAAACACGTGTGTGCCTGCATCAGCACAGCCGCCGCTGAAAATGGAAGCCGTCCTGTATTCTGGGAACCTGCCATTATAATTTAGCTTTTGATACTGTATAAGCCTGCTCCTTTGGGAGGAAAAACCCTTAGGTAAACCATTCTTCAAAATCTGTTTTCCAAAAATCTAGGTCATTTCGAGTTCCCGGTATGCCTTGGACTGATGAGACTGTCCATCAAATCTCCTTAAAGAGATTTCAGATGCTTTTCATCTGAAGGAATCAAACTTTTGTGCTTCCCCTGATGAATAAAGTTTCCTTTGTTGCTCTTGTTTTTGAAGAATGTTTATGAGAAGTGTGTGACCTGATGGGTTTTGGAGTGTGTGGGGTCTCCCTATCTATGTTTTCTCAGTGCACAGAATAAAAAGAATTTTTCCAAATTGTGCTTTCCTTTTTCCTCTCAGAAAAATTTCCCCAGTACCTGAGAGTAAATAGAGTTGCAATGTAAATATTTGCCATTGGCCGTCAAGTTGCTTCCTATATGGTGACCCTGACAGGAGTTTTATGGTATCTGAGATCTTCATGGAGTGGTTTGACTATTATCATAACACAAACACCCTTGAGTTTCCATGGCCAAGCAAGAATATGAATATTGGTCTTGAGTCAGTCTGACACTCTTATTTCCTACAGTACACTGATTGTAAATGCACGTGTAAACACTTGTCATTAATTGTTAACCAGCAAATACCCAAAATGTAGATGGGGAAAAGTTGCATCCTTTGATATAACCAGCATGTGGTGGATCTGTTTTTGCACAAAAGCAGCAATAACCACACCCCCATCTACAGTAGATAAGAAACAGAGGAAGGGATATTTAACACCTCACCCATGTGAAGAGGATTCAAACAGCCACTGCATGGTGGTGGACCCATTTAGCAAAGAAGTTGGGTTGTGCGCCAGATCTGAATTGACCCCTCTCTCTGCCCCAAAGCTTTGGGATGGTGGTTAGCAAAGGGATGCAGCCATTTGAAATATGTTCTTTCTGAAAATGTGCCTAATTTGTATCCATAGTGTAGGCCTTTTCTCTAGGCCTGAGGGTCCTCTTTGCAACTTTCTTTAGTGTATGATGGGGGTGGCGTGGGGTGGCAGAGATTTCCTGAGATCCTGGAATGCTTCAACAGGGATAGGTGAGCTCCGATGAAAAATACCCCCCATGTTTTGCACCAGTTTATTTATTTATTTTATTAAAGAATAATCATTAAAAAAAACTAACATAAAATGTATAGATGAAAAATACCCCCCATGTTTTGCACCAATTTATTTTTTATTAAAGAATAATCATAACAAAACTAACATAAAATGTATGTACATACACAATACAACTAGAATTCCCTATCTTCACCTTCAGGACTAGGTTAACCAAAAATATTTTATTATTTTTCACCCCACTCCACTCCAAAATACATAGTTTTGCACCAGTTTAAAGACTTGCAAGTTTTATTTAACACAAGGTTTTGTGGAATTCAGTTTTATCTGATGAAATGGTCTGTAGACCACAAACTCTTAATGGCAAACAAATATTTTCAGTCTATTAAGGTCAAGCAAGAATTTGGTCTTCATTGGTATTCTTTAAATTAATTTATATTTTCTAAGCAGTGTTAGGGACCTGGCATGTTCAAGTACATATACATTGAGCATGGTCATTCATAGAATGGCTTCTATGGTTGAAAAAAAAAAGAATGGATTACTTCCACTTTAAATAGGTCTCTGGCTCCCTCTATTGGCCAGTTCTGGTAACTTCATTTTTCAGTATCTATGTATACAGTATTTCTAGCATTTTTCTTTTAATATCTTTAATATCTTCAGACTGTGAATAGGTGAATCAGTGGAAACTGATCCTGCCCATACAGGGGTCCTACCCTGTAAGTTTTAAGATACCACCATTAAAAAGAATTTTACTCTGTGTAGTCTATTGACTATGCCATGCAGTTTTCTTTAAACATATTTAGGTGTTTTTATTTTTACCACCTGCCCAATTTGAAATTAACATTTCAAAGGACTAAAAAACTTGCATGCTGTTTATGACCCTTGAGTTTGCCTGGGCAAGAGGTTCCTTTCCTTTAATGCAGATTCTGGAGTCCTTGAGAACATATTTAAAGGAGGCTGAAAAATAGAAGGCCCTTATTGTTGGGAAAGGAAACGGTGAAGTGGACTAAATACCAAATGTACAACCCCACCCCACCCCCATTAGAGCAATGATAATTATTTTTTCCTGAAAAGTTGTTGATTCCCAGGGATAACTGCATTTTTAAATATCCGCGATCAATCTGATTGGGAATGATTAAAAGAAAAAGCAGGATCAACAACTGAGCTCCCTGGGATATTAATGCTCTGATCCCAGATCAGAAGATAAACAGAAAAAAGGCATGATAGCAAAAAAGATTTTCCAAACAGACTATATTCCCATTATTCTGTTAACTTTTGCTCTGAGAGGGAACCTTTAAACACTCTGAACTCTAGCCTATTGTTGTACTTTTTCATAGAGACAGAAATATTACTTCAAGGTACAGTAACAAAAGGGTCCCTTTAGGCCGTCTTTGCTTTATATATATGGAAACTAAGTTTTCATAGAAAAGGATCAGAGTTGAAAAGTCCTGTATGCCAATCATAATTTTTTTTTCATTAGGTTCTCATTTGGTCCCATAGAAAATCTTGGGGATCACCTCCTTTTACGGGGGTGGGTGGGTTTGGACTTTTGTGGGTGGAGAAGAGGGTTCTCCTCACGAGTCAGCATTTCAGATTGTACTCCCACCCCCTTGTGTAGAAAAAGGGTCGGATTATTTCCCCAGAGAAAGACCCTAAATTAAAACTGCTGATGCTTTCGTCCGTCTCTGCGTCAAGAAACTCCACTAGGCCCTCTTCATAGCTTAGCTTTACACGGATCTTCTGAAGCACCTTTTTCAAAGTCAAAGTGGAAGGCTCGGCCCTAAAGACTGAGATTTGGCAAGGTGAGGGTAAGTCCGCACATGCCTTCCCTATAGCCCAGATTCCCTCGTTCGGGTTTAAACTGAAATACTCCTTCCTTTTGACAGAATGCTTCGCAACCCCAACGGCCCAGGCTGGTTCTCCGCTTAGGTCTCCCTCTATTCCTCCGCCGAGAATCTCCACTTCCCAGCAATGTTTTCCTGAGGTAAATATCTCACGGCCCAGCACACAAGGCTGCTTCTTAAATCTCTCTGGGTTGTAAGGAAGGTCCTGAGCTATGCGGTCCCATCTCAAGCTTTTCAGACCCTCTGAAATGAAGAGCCGAGGATGGGCTGTGTCTCGATCCAGCGTCACACTCACTGCAGGACAGAGAGAGGGGAAAAAAATGATGAGAGAAAAAGAACGAAGGACAGGAAGAATCAAACACTAGGAAAGGAAGAGTTAACTCCCAGGTTCTCCTTTCTCTGGGCTCTGCTCAAGAAGCCCAGAAAAAACACAGAAAAGGGCCCAAACCAGTTAAGAACGTGTACAAATGTGCTTGTGGTTTGGTTAAAAAATGGTGAGAGAAATTTCACTTTTTATTCTAAACTAGTGGGTTCCCAGCCTTGGGTAACCCAGGTGTTTGTGGACTGCAATTCCCAGAAGCCTTCCCCACCAGCTGTGCTAGCTGATTTTTCCGAGAGTTGCAGTTCAAGAAGAACCTGGGTTACCCAAGATTGTGAACCTCTAATCTAAACCTTTCTCCTGTCTTACTCCGCTGTGGTCGCAGTTCAAGAAGAACCTGGGTTACCCAAGGTTGTACCTTTCTCCTGCCTTACTCCGCTGTGTTCTCCTCTGTTAGAATTCCAGTTAGCAGCCAGACACTCATAAGGAAAGGGGTGAATGGCTGTGGGTGGATGGGTGGGTGGGCCTTGAAGCAGCAAAGGACGTAGAATTTAAGACAGGAGAAAGAGTGGGGCTTTGTGCCACTTCCACACTCCTTTTACATCAGTGGTCCTCAGCCTTGGGCCTCCAGATGTTCCTGGACTTCAACTCCCAGAAATCCTGGCCAGAAGAAGTGGTGGTAAAGGCTTCTGGGAGTTGTAGTCCAAGAACATCTGGAGGCCCAATGTTGGGGACCACTGCTTTACATCACAAGATAACCTTTTGACTCCTTTGTTGGCATCTGAAACCCTTCTCCTGCCATCTGACTCCAAATCCAAATTTCAAGCAAAAGGGTAGAGAAGACACTAGCTGAAGAAGGTAGCGGAGACCACCATAGCCTTCCTTTTGAATGCCTACATTTCCAGTAATGGGCCTTAACCCTAACAGTTGTACGTAAGGTGGGACAACACCCACAGGGCACCCCCATAACTGAGACGCACCTTACTGCTTGCACCTTGTGGGAAAGAATAAAAGAGGAATCAGCTGCTAAAAACTGAATTCCTTTTAATATTTTCATCACAGTGCTGCATTTGATTTTGTATTTTACTGTCACTGGCCACCCTAAGCTCTAATTGTAGCAGAAAGGAGGGATGTGAACTTAACAACAACAACAAAAAAAAACTGAATTCCCATCAGAAAGCTGAGACCTTTGATTTCCCTAATATTCCTCCATGTAATAAATGAAGGTTAACTGCTGTTCAAAATTTGCCCCTGCTATCATGATTTGGTTTAAGCATTTACCTCGGTTCAGAGCTTTCTTCTCAGAATCTGTAACAGGAAGGAAAGAGGTGACAAATTTAAAGAGAGACTATAGCTGAAACCAGACATAAATGGCCAATCGTATCATACAAAGTGTGTCAGTAAGATGAGCGCTTAAGAGAACATTGAATGGATGTATTATTTGGTAATGAGATCTTTGAGTAATGGAAGAGACTTCTGCCCGACCCACCGGATCTTCACAGGCCAGTCTCTTCCATGTAGTTACTCTGGGAGAGGGTCAATGGAGTTGGATCATACTTCAAGCACCATTTCCTAGCCAAAAAAACCAACACCCCATTTCTCTTCCAGTCCTAGAAAACTACCTGTGTTGAACGTTTGCTCCCAACTGGCTGTGTTCAGAGCTTGCTCCAGGGACTCTGTCGTATAAAGGAAAAGACAGAAAGGATTACTCAAACGGACCACCATAGTAACAATAAGATCATTCCATGAATAATAAACTCCACATTCTTTTTGGAACCCATCAGGAGTGTCTGTTTAAGTGTGGCATCTTTGATAAAAGTACTGAACAGAATCGGGGCTCAAACCCTGATCACAGAGATAAGTACAAAATTTTCACAAGCTTTTCATTAGACATGCACATTCAGGCTAACTTTCAGAAAAGCAAAGAAACCAGCACTGGCTGTTTATAACACCATCTTTGGACTGCTCCTTTCTTGCTATCTGTGCATGTTCTGGACACTTGCCCATTTGCCTTGTGACAAAAGCCAGTTCCTTTTTAAAAGAAAGGAACTCGGGTGATCTTATTAGCAACTAGCCTTGAACAAGAGCAGTGGTTCTCAACCTTGGGTCCCCAGATGTTTTTGCATTAAAATTCCTAGATGCCCTCACCACTCGCTGTGCTGGCCAGGATTTTGAGGAGTTGTAGTCTAAGAACATCTGGGGATCCAAGCGAGGGAACCATGGAATTAGAGCGCCACCACTGAGCAGTCTCCATTCTGCTTCCCCTTCTTTCAGCTTACTTTGACAGTCCTCCATAACCCTGGTGAAACTGGAATTTTTCTCTAAGTAAGCTCTGAACTTGTCTTCCAAACTGGGGTCCACCACATGCTCCATGGGATTTTTCTCATACCTGCAAGGGAATAAGGTCAAGTTTAATAAACAGTAACAGAACAACATTTTTCAGGAAGCTTTGGAGCTAGGCATGGGACTTTTAGGATTTTTGGTCTAGAGCCCCAGACATCTGCATGAAGTCTCGCAACTAGACTTCTTGGGGACTGTGGGAACTGTGAGGCATTAAAGGACTAGGAGTTATTGGAGATACACCCCTGTACAGAGCATACTGGGTGAGGAGACTACCAGCCCCTAATGCCTTGCAAGTTCAGCGGAGGGCAACCAGGATCATCAGGGAGCTGGAAACCAAGCCCTATGAGGAAAGACTGGGTATGTTTAGCCTTGAGGAAAGATGACTTGAAAGGCTGTCATACAGAGGAGGGTGCAGGATCTGTTTTCAATCATTCTTAAGTGCAGGACACATAATAATGGGATCATGTTACAGGAAGCAAAGTTTCAGCTGAATATCAGAAAAAAATTCCTAACTGTTACAGCAGTACAATAACAGAAGCAATTATTTTGACAAGTGGCAAGTGCTCCAAAGTTGGAAACATTCAAGAGAAAGTCAGGCGACCCTCTGCCAGAGATATTTTAATTGCTATTCCTGTATCGAGTGGGGAATTGGACTTTATGGACTTCTAGGGACCTTCCAGCTCCATCTTTCTCTGATGCTATCTAGAGTGGCCTGGGTAGCCAGATGGGCGGTATAAAAATGAATGAATAAATAAAATAATAAATAAATATCTCCATGATTCTATGATTCTATCCCATGCAGAAGCTGGAAGGGTAAAAGAATTTGAAGGCCTGGTTTCAACTGGAGTATACAGTGAATAACCCAACGGATGTGAACCTCCCGTCAAGAAAGGGCACCATTTATTTCCAATCCAGTGGGATCAAAGCTTTTCCACCAAAAGAGCCAGAGAAACATCAGATGATGGAAAGAGCCATATACGTACCTGCTTAAGGTACTTCTGATATCCTGAAAGAGAGAGAGAAAGGGAGCTCAAAACCTGAATAAAAGCAGTTTGTTTTACAGTATTCTAAGGTAGTCATCCTGAATCCTTTGCCCTCTTTAGAAAACAAAGATAGGCTTCTAGGACCACACCTTCTTAATTCCAGGGAACAGGCCCTGGGTCTTAAGTCCCACCTGGAGGTAGACGCTGGGTGGCTGCTGGCACTTCTCCTCCAGTTCTGCAATCCGCTGACTGAGTTGGGAAATCTTTTCAGAGATTTTGGAGAGGTTTTCTCGACTCCTCCGTTCCATCTCTTTCTTCAGCTCTCTCAGCTGTTTGAGCTGAAACTGCTTCTTAGCCTCAAGAAACTTCTGTAAATCCTCAAAGATAGAGGCAATCTTGTCCTTCTCCCGTTTTAAGTGATTCTGGGGGTGGGTGGACAAAACCAAACACACACACACACACACATCAAAATTAACAGAGGGGTAGCAATCCAGCATGATAAATGGGTGAGCAGCCTATGACTACAGGAGTCAGATTAGGGGTACCTCTAAGGTGACATGTAGACCTATTGCCTTTTTCAAAGCGTCATTTGATTATATCACCCCAACTTGCACTGGTTACCGGTCTGCATCCACACCAGGTTCAGGGTCCAGGTGCTGACATATAAAAACCCTAAATGGTTTCGGCCCTCACTGCTTGTCCGAATATCATCTTTTAACTTCTGCTGCCCGTCTTACTTGATCTTCTCTATTTTCACGCCTATGAGCGTTGACATCAAGAGAAAGCCAGGAGACTTTAACAAGAAATAGCTTTCTTGGCATTGGCCCCAAATGCCTTGCCGCAGGAAATAGGCCCTTCAGGCCTTTGAAAAGCTCCTAAAAAGGGAACTTTTTAGAGAAGCCTTAGTTAAGGGAGTGTTTTTAAAAAATCAAATTAAAACACAAGAAATTATACATTAAAAAACAATTAAGACTATAATACTAACTGAAAAACACTGAATGATTAAAAACATTTAAAGCAGAGACATAAGCTAGCAAGCAAGCAAGTTTATACTTAAGTAATACAGTGGGACAGCTTGCTTGTGTCTATACTCGGTTACTATCCTGTTATGCTGTTGTAGTGAGATGCACTCTGTGCGTGCTCTGCAGCTATGTTATCCTCTGTGCTAGAATGGCAATATTAGGTACAGCTAGCTTTGTTGTTTTCTTGTGAGCATTTCTTCTCCTCCCCCTTATCTCCCTTGTTTGATTTATGCCTTTCTGACTTTCTTTTTTTGGCTTGCGGGATCTTTAATCTGTTTTTAGCCACCCCACAGGCAGTGGATAATTGAAACCGTGGGTACTGATCTGGCGGATAAAGCAGTCCTACAGTATATATGAATGTCAGACATGAAAGGATGAACTTGCATGATTGAACCAGGTTCCAGAACACCACAAATGCATCTCAAAACCGAAGAAAGAATTTGCTTCACTACGGCAGGGCACAGAGAAGCCACAGGGTTGACAGCACCATTCGGAACATATACCTACCAGATTCTCCTCCATTTCCTGCTGTTTTGTCAATTTCTGGTGCTCACGCTTCTCCTTCTCCTTCCTCAGAAATTTCAAATGGCTTCTGATTTTTTCCTGTGGAAACAGAAATTGATTTCCCCCCCCTGTCTTGGGATTTCTGTCCTTCCGAAGCCTGTCAATGGTTTGCTAAAGTAATCCTTGTTTGATCTAACCACGAAGGACTGGCAACATATTGTTAGGCCTTCCTCTTTTATTCTGAAGCCTGCCTCTATGTTTCTTTTCCATTTTCGCTGCTAAAGCCTCTGCCGGTTTTGGAATAAATACCTAGAACCTTAAGTACAATGTGGAACTTTTTGGAGAGGAGCCTGTCTCTCAGGAGGCTACGGGTGTAAAGAGCAGGAGGACAGGAGGAGAACATTGTTTTCTATCACCAGGAGGACATTAGCAGCTTCTGGTATTGAAATGTTGAAAAGTAATTATTTTACTTTTGAGAATAAGAAAAGTAAAATGTAGCTACATTTGTAACTGTGGGAAAAGGTCCACAATAATGTCTCCACTTTAACTTTACTTTTTTTAACTTTTTTTTTTAAAAAAAATTACAACATACACATAAAATATATAAACCAAAATACAAATCAACTGTGTTCCCCACCACCCTAACACTTTAACCTTACTTTTAACACATTCTATGTCCCGCTCTCTATTGAAATCTCTCCTTCATTTAATTTACATTCTGGAACCAATGTGGTGTAAATAAAAGACCAATAGGACCCCAGGAGACCTGGGTTCAAATCCCAACTCAGTTGCAGAAGCTCACTGAGGGAAATGGCCCTGCTAATAACCACTGCTTGAAGGCCATTTGAAGGCACAGGATAATACCAAGCATCTCAACTTCCTGTGTTTCTGGGCCTTTTTTTTTCTTGCCCTTTTGCAAATTTAGCCAGAGCATGAAACTCTTTTAATCCTCTGGAGTGAGAGGAAGGCACAGCCTTAAGTGAAGTGGTGCTTAATCCACAAAAGCTCGTTTATGGTCTGATTATTTTTTTAGTAGTCCATAAAGTGATCTATCGCCTATTTTTACGTTTGGACTTTATTTGGAATTCAGATGATTCAACAAAATGGAGAGTGAGAGAGACACAGCCAGAGGGCTGAAGAAACTGCCTGTCCAAAAACAGGCCACCATTTTTAGCTTGATACTTTTTTATTTAGCCGCCCAGAGTAGTCAATTGACTAGATGGGTGGGGTATAAATTCAATAAATAAATAATTTTAAAAAATGTCCCCACACACGTGCGCCGCCATGGGTCCCTTTGAAGGAGAAAGGTGGGATAAAAAACCTTTTTAAAGAAATAAATGACATTAAAAAGTATTGAAACCACGAAAAACAGAAGCTTAAACGTGACACAGAACTCTTCCCCAAAGAACGCAAAATACTTCTTGCGCCCACCCTGGCGATCTTCTCCTCCTCCTCCTACCTTATACTCCTGAGCAACCTCTTCGATGGGGAAGACGGTGTGCTCCCGGTGCTCCTTGGACCGGTCGCACACCACGCAGATGGGGTTCTCGTCGTCCTTGCAGAACAATTTCTGGGGCTCCTGGTGCCTGGCGCACACCCGCCACTCGCCTTCCCCCGGCTCGCCCTCCTGGAAGCGCTTGGCGATCGCCACGATATTGGCCAAGGTCCGGTTGGGCCTCAAGCTCCCGGCCCCGACGGTCTCTCTGCACTGGGGGCACTTCGCCTCGCCGCCGCCGCCGCCTTCCTCCCCGCAGCACTGGGTGATGCAGGCGCGACAGAAATTGTGCCCGCAATCGGTGGTCACCGGGTCTGCGAAGTACTCCAGGCAGATGGGACATGTAGTTTCATCATGGAGCGAAGCCATCTCTCTCTTTTTTTTCTTTCTCTCTTTCTTTTTCTTTCTTTTTCTTTCTCTCTCTCTTTTTCTTTTCTTTCTTTCTCTCTCTCTCTCTGGATAGCCGGAGAATAACGACCGGACGGTGTCGTTGCTCTCTTTCGACACAGCCTGGGCGTTCCCCTTTTTTAAGGAACTTCCTCGGAAGCAGGCGTGTCTTTACGCGGGTGAAACAAAAGATCGGCGTAAACAGCTGGCATCTGCCCCAAGAGGCCCTCCGATAAACAACAATACCTTTTTCTCCTTTTCAAATGAGGCAGAAAGGACCCAGCGAGATTCAGGGAAGAGGCAGATCATGGCATTCTTATCCGCTGAGAGAAAACTTTTCTTTCTGTTTTTTAAATAGGAGGGCTAAATGCTGTTTGTTATATGCCGTCAAGTCGTGTGGCAAACATGAATTAGTGTGACCGGCCAAAAAAGTGTGATCTTTTAACAGCCTTGCCACGGGCTTCCTTTATAAATCAATCCGACGGACATTCCAACTTCCGCTTTTCCTGCTGCTTCTCGCCTCTCCCAGCAGTCTTGTCTTTTCCAGTGAGCCTCACTTCTTTACACAGGGTGAATCAAGTAGGACAAGCCTCAGTTTAGTCATTTCTGCTTCTGGAGAGAGAGCAGGGTTGATCTGGCCTGGAACTCGACTGGTTTGTCTTTGGAGAACTGGATATATGCAGGATAGTGTTATTTATTTATTTATTTATTTATTTATTTATTTATTTATTTATTTGATTGATTGATTGATTGATTGATTGATTGATTGATTGATTTGATTTTTACCCCGCACCTCTAGACAACGTCTACTCGGGGCAGCTTACACAGATTAAAACACATCGAGATAACATATATAAAAATAAAATTGTTTTTAATTCTAAACAACACATTTCCAAGATGGCAAGACTCAAAAAGAGGGGGGGGGGAAGAAAAAAGAAAAACAATCTTAATTGACTGGAGGAAGGGCCTGTTAATGTTATCAGAACTTCAAATGCCCTGTACTAATAATGCCCACTGCCATCTTGGAAGCAGTCGGTTGGCCTGTAACACAAGGAGCATCTTGACTTTGACAGCCGAGGGGATAAGGCTGGTGGAATACACCACGTGAATGGAAGAGGTCCTGATTCCTAGGTTGTACGCTATATGGTTTGCAGACTTAAGTAACGCCGGTGTTCTTGGACTGCACCTCCCAGAAACCCCAACCAGTACAACTGGTGGGAATTGCTGCCCAAGAAAACCGGGGTTACCCAAGTTTGGAAACCACTGCTAGGGGGAGACAGCCCAAGTACTATATGGTTTCCACAGATGAAGACTGTCTCCCAATCCACTCTCTAAACGCTGGGAGGAGTGAGGAAGCAGGCAGGCACCCTTTTCACTGGCCAACAGTTAACTGAAAGTTCAAATTTTGCACTTTCCCTGCCTCCCACGTGGTTTTTTTTCAGTTCTTATCTCAAATCTAAGTATGTAAGTTAAGTCAATATTTTCCTATGAGAGCAGTTCTTAAGTCAAAATGTTCTTAACTCAAGCCGTTCTTAAGTCAAGACCCCACTGTATATGGTTTCCACAGGTTGTGTCTCACAAAGGATGGAACTGGGCTTTTGTCCATGAATGTTTTTGTGCTCATTTAAGACCAGAATCTTATGCCAAGAAGACTGGATACAGAACAACCTCGGTGCAAATGTTTTCACTGTCATGGGACTTGTGCAAGGAGGTATCCAGGACCTGCTTGTGCAAGGGCAAGCTGGCTGGTAGGAATTAGGCTCTCTGCTTGTGCAAGAACGCTGCTTATGCAAGTGGGAGAACCAAATTTACAGTGGACCCTTGACTTACAGACGGCTTGACTTACAGACTTTTTGAGTTACAGACTTCTCTGGCCGCAAAATTTAGGTTTGACTTGCAGACTGAGAATTGACTTACAGACCAGAAAAAAACCAAAATGGAACAAAAACGGCCTGTTACGGGATTAATCGGTTTTCAATGCACTGTAGGTCAATGGAGACTTGACCTGAGAACTTTTTGACTTGAGAACCGCCTTCCAATACGGATTAAGTTCTGAAGTCAAGACCCCACTGTACCACCCTGGCATGGCTTTGTGCTCCACTGGTGATGAACCGGATGCCACCCTTAATCTCTTTGTGTGTGTGTGTGTGTGTGTATGCGCACGCGCTGTCAAGTCAGAACTGATTCACAACGACCCTAATAGAGCTTTCAAGGTGAAATACTTAAGGAGTGTTTTACCCGTTTCATTCCCTCTGTCTATTCATTTCAATACACAGAAATGAATAACAAGTCAATAAAGAAAACGAAACACCCTTTGTTTCCTGTCTTCTGCATCTACCAAAGTCCAGTGGTTCTCCACCTTGGATCCCCAGATGTTCTTGGACTGCAATTCCCAGAAATCCTGGCCTAGGACAACGAGTGGTGAAGGCTTCTGGGATATTTAGTTCAAGAACACCTGGGGACCCAAGGTTCAAAATCACTTCTCTTGACTGAGAATATTTTCCCCCCTGAAAATATTAGATGCAGGGAGGATAGAGGTTATGCTTTTACATATCACGTGATGGAACTGCATCTGTGCTGCTCGTATCTGAGGAGAAAAGTTAATAAAAAATAAAATAAAATGCTATCTACCTACCTATTATACTTCTGAGTCTGTATTAGTTACCCCAAAACACACCTGAAAGGCTTTGGCTTCCTGCATCCTCTTATCACCTGGTTCTCTCCATCCATTTGCTGCTCAACATATAACCATTTCACTTTCCTTGGCAAAAATGTTTTTTAGTTCAGGAGGCTACTCTCCCACCAGCCGTTCCAGTCGCAAAGTTTTATATAAAGTCAACTCCTTGAGGGAGGACTTTTTGCTTAACTCGCTTCTGCGGAGGTGGAGGGTTGGAAGGGCTGTTGAGGCTGAACCTAGAAGGAGTCTCATTTTCTCAGCAAACAGGTAGGTAGCTGCCTTGTCTTGTGCCAGGTGAGTTTTGGGAAGTTTGCCTTTCTTTCTGACATGCTTCCCTTCCTGGGGAAGGGTGGCCATGTGAAAGCAAGACAGGACTTCTGTACATTTAGGAGCTGCGTGTAAAAGGGAGTTTCAGCAGGTAAACCTTCAAAGACAAGCAAGACCCGCTGATATTCCCAGTGTGTATCTTTCCTTTATGTAGACTTTCCCTGCTATGGTGGGAATGGAAAAAGCTCAAAAGAAAGCTGAAGTCAATGGGCCTCAGTTCCCATGACCAGGTTTCAACTGTATTGGCCAAGCTCTTAAATTCAGTCTATAGCTATCAAATGGAGCTATTGTTTACTTTGTTTTCACTACCTTAGATTAACTGCTACAGTATACTATCCTGAATGTGTGTCTGAATTCCTATGCTTAAATCTTGGATAATAGTAAAAATCATGTGTCATCAAGGCAATTCTGACTTACGGTGACCCTTTCCAGGGTTTTTTTTAAGGCAGTGACTACTCAGGAGTAATTTCCCCTTCCCTTCTTCTGGGGGGCACCTGCGGACTGTACAGCTTGTCCAAGGCCAACCCGGTTGGCTTTACTTGCAGGAGGCACAGAGGGGAATCAAACTTCCAACCATACCTAAATCTGCAAGCAGAAAATACTGGGAATTTCAGGTTGGGCCAGGAAGGAATTCTGCTTAAACTCAGGAGAGATTCTGCTCTCCTGAGTTTTTGATAGTACTGGCCTGGATAGGCCATCAGCCTCAGTCAGTAGAAGGCTGCTCTTTGTTGTATGTCCTGCATTTCTCATCATTTCATTGTTGGTTGTTGCATTAGGGTCTCCATGCCTAAGAGAAAGAGTGTCCACTCACTCGAGAGGCTGTGCCTGGATAATGTGGTGAGGAATATAGAGCGTGTCTGGGTCAAGGATTACACTGTGGACAACTACCTGCATCTGTATCCTTGCCGCTACACTGTGGGACCTTTCAGTGTTTTGGGTGAGAGGCGCATGGGTACTAGGGGTGGTCTTGTTCTCTTCTTCCTTCTGCCTTGAACAGTTCGGGGGGAAAATACTGTACCCTAGTCCCTACCACAAATTGGAATTTTATGCATCTGGTTCGGAAAGCTTCATGGGAGGGAAGGCTCTTTCTTGAAATAGTTTATTCTGTACAGTTACCTGGGCAGGTACATAGATCTGTTTGCCACAAAACCTTTAGGCCAATGCTTCCCAACCTTGGGTACCCAGATGTTCTTAGGCTGAAACTCCCAGATATCTTGGCCAGCACAGCTAGCGATGAAGGCATCTGGGTGTTTTAATCCAAGAACATCGGGGGACCCACAGTAGGGAACCATTGCTCCAGGCCCTCACCGTTTTACAATGTCTCTTTTTTTTTTTAAAGCCAAAAAAGCAGGGTGGGGTGGGGCAAGAACCGAATACTTGCGACTCCTGATTAAAAACCCATTGTACTAGCAGGATCCTTTGAAGGTTCATTGCCACACATGGTCTTTCCTCTTGGGAGTTGTCAGTACACTCCACCTCTTCTTTCCCACATTACAGAAACTAGTTGGGGTGAAGGGAGAGGAAGAATGGGGGTAATTCTGGGACTGTGCAGCTTGCCCAAGGCCACACAGGCTGGCTCTATTCACAGGAGGTATAGTGATAGATTAATTAATTAATTAATTTACTGCTTATCTAGTCAGGCTACTCTGGGCAGTTCACATCATCATCATCATCATCATCATCACATCAGTACAAGTATAAAATAAGTGCCATAGTTAAAACAATACAAGTAATAGAGATTTCTTGCCTTCATGCAACCTTAAAATCTCCACCCCTTCAAAGATGGGATGAAGTGTAGGGCTGCATAGGTGGCAGGAAGCAAAAAAAGTCCTCCTTAAGAAATGCTCAGAATCTGCCCCTCGGTGATCCTTAGTTTGTGTGGCAGAGTGAGGCCACGAAAGGACTGGAGCAACTTTAACTGGCAGAATCTGCCCGTCGGTGATCCTTAGTTTGTGTGGCAGAGTGAGGCCACCAGGAGCAACTTTAACTGGCAAATTCAGCCCTTTGAAACTTGGAATGATTCCCTGAGCATACTTTCTCCTTCGTAAAGGAATTACACCTGCATGTCTTTTTTTTCAAAAGTACAAATGCTTCTGTTTACTATAGAAATAAACACGAGAGAAGAAAGGTGATAGCTGTAGCTAACAAAGTCAGAGATACCAAGTGTCATGGCTGCCCCTTCAGAAAACAAAGACAAAAATCTGTTCTCCTCAGAAGACGAGACGGAGATGTGGGAAAGAAGGGAGTGACATCAGTGGCCAGAAGACTAGCAATCTAAAGTTGAAAGAAGGCCAGAAAAAAAATCCAGGAAGCCTTGGGAATTGTCCTCTTCATGCAAAAAGATCCATTTCCCTGAGTGCAAGCTGAACGGTACCCAATCAATTCCAACAGTCTGCAATGCATCCCTCAGCCTCCTGCAGTGGATACAGTGGTCCTAAACAACCTGATGTCCTCCAGGATCTTTAGGGTTTCAACTCTCTTCAGCCTCTTCTTGCATGGCCAAGAGGCAGGTTCATGGGGAGATGTTGCCCAGAGGGGGAGGCTGGGTTAGAGTCTCTGCATCTGTGTTTCCAAAGAGTTCCTACCTTGCCCTTGGGCCAGTCATTTTGACCCAACTTAGCCTGATGTAGTGAGTACTTATGATAATTATATGGTGAATCTGAGGGGTGAGAATCACATACCCCCTGTTGTGCTCTTTGGAGGAAAGGTGTAATGTACTAGCTAATGTCTAGTCAAAAATCTTGCTTCTCTCCATTCCCTGTCATTGCCTTCCTTCTGTGTGGGGTGAATGGATGCCTAAAGCAAACCCCCAAGACCAAGCAAAATACAGTATGTTAACACTGGACTATTTTCTCCCCTCCCCTAGCTGGCCCCCTCCTCCAGAAACTGATCCAGTTAATGGGGGAAAGAAAACTCTTGACCTCTTCCCTGCTGCATTCACTGCTTTTGCCACAACTGAAAGAGCTCAACCTGAACATGTGCCCAAACCTGGTCAGTGAGCATATCGCCCACATTATTGCAGTGCGCTGCAAGGTAAGGATCAAGAGTCATGTGAAGTGGACTTTTGATCAGAAAAGCTCACTAATCTATGAATCTTTTAAGATGCCACGTGACTCCTCATTGCTTAGACTAACAGTGTCTTTATTTACTGCAGGGTGGGGGAAAAACGTTGGCCCTCTTGCTTTGTTTGCAACTCCCCTTAACTCCATTTCACATGACTAGTAGTAGGGAGTTCTGGGAGTTATACGTAGTTCAGAATTTGAAAGATGAAAGGTTAGAAGAGGTAGCCATGTCAGTTTGTGGGAGAGTATCAGGCAAAAACAAAAGAAAAGGGGGAAAATGTGGTGGCACTTTAAAGACTGTTATATCTGAATATGGGCTTTTATGGATCAAATCTGCTTCCTCAGACATAAGAGTGAGATTACATGGCAAATTTATAAATGTATTAAAATCTGCCATGCAATCTCATACGTCTGAGGAAGTGGATTTGATACACAAAAGCTCACATTAAAATATAACAGTTAGTCTTTAAGGTACCATAACATTTTTGTCTTATCTCTCTCTCTCTCTCTCTCTTTTAATTTTGATTTTGCCTGATATGTAAGATGAAAAATCCTCTAACTCTGCAATAACTGGCTACAGATTCTGCCCCACTATTTTGTAATTCAATGTTTTATTCAAGGTACAAAAAGCTATTGATGAATAACCATTGCCATTTAACTCTGGGTGCGATCAGACAGTGAGAAAGGGGTCCGACTATGCTGGAAAGGATCATTCCACTGGGGCCGATTTCCCTTAAAGTCACTCTTCTGCCTCTAGGAGACTTGATCCAACCCAGCTAGACACAGAACAGGATCATATTGGTCTGCAATCTCCCACGTATTGTCTGATCACTAGAAAATAGCTTGCATTGTACTGTACCACCGTCCTAAAATGCACGCTGTTTCTCCACCTGATTGCACTCGTTGTCTTTGACACCTTCTGCAAACAAGTCAGATCCCATGCCTTTGTGCCCACAGGGCAATCGGCCCTTTAAGAAGTCAAGCGGTGGTCCCTTAATGTCCCTTTCCCTGGCTAGAGATGTAAAATGGACAGCACATCCCATCCATGCATGACTTACAGACAGACTCAAAGCAAACTGGTATTTGCTCACTGATTTCTCTGTCTCCTGATGCAGAATTTGTCCTCACTGGATCTCCGTGGCTGTAACCGGATCCCTGCAAGTGCTCTGGCCGACCTGGTGAAAAGCTTGCCCCGTCTCATAAAATTAGCCCTGGCAGAGACACAGTGCGATACCCAAGTGTTGTCAAGGGTGGGCTCCTGTTGCTTCCAGCTTCGTGAGCTAGACATCAGTGCCTGTGAAAGAGTGACCCCAGATTCCCTCCTTCATCTTGCCTATGACCCCACCGCGAGGTCCTTCCGCTGCTCAGCATTACAGATCCTTGAGGTATGTGGTCTGGAGTCCCACTCTGTCAGGCCAGACGTGCTTTGTGCCCTGGTTTTTGTGCTTCTGGCACTGCCCAACCTGAAGTTCTTGATTCACGATTCTCTGGCAAAGGCAGTGTGTTTGATCTACCGCCAGCAGTTTGACGGGGCCTGGGTGGTCCCTGGATTTCCCTCCCTCAGAGAGCTGGCAAGGCGCAGGATGTCCACCTCCACAAATGAAGGGAGTTCTAGACTCACGCTGGCCCTCAGGGAAATATATGGAGTGAATGAGACCTCCTGGCCGATGGCCTGTGCTGTGTGTCCACATTTGGAAGAAGCTTCTTTTGTTATAACACGAAGCTTTGATTTGGGCCAAAGCTGCCTGTCGTGGCGCCATCTTGTCCGTCTGACTATCAACTGCAGCGAAAGGCGGGACCTGAGGGATCTTTTACCAGTGACAGCCAGCCTTGGGGCCCAGCTTCAAACCCTCTCCTTTGATGGATTCTCCTTGGAAGATGGATTATCTTTCCACACACTGCTGACTCACTGCCAAAATCTTCAGAATTTTAGGGCATTTTTGGTCTCTGCAGAGAGTGGTAGCCATGGGTGGGTGCCAAAGAATGAGGCCTCAGACTGGTGCTTCAGCCTCCCTCCCCTCAATTTCCCTCATTTGTGTGACTTTTCCCTGATGTATTCCTCTCAGCACAACAGGGCACTGGAACAAAGTCTTATATCCTTGCTTAGACATTCTCCATGTCTGGAAATCTTGGATCTCCTCTGTTTACCATTCTCCGTGGACGAAGTGTTCCGGAAAGTGCTGGCACCCCCTGGAACTCCCCTGCGACAACTCAGTGAGCTCTCACTAATTCAAGATGAAGTGTCCGTTCACACTGTCAACTTGCTGTTGTCATCAGAAAATAACCTGAGATACCTCAGGCTGGACACATGCTTGGGCATCTCCAAGATGGAGTACGAAGAGGTTGTACAGAGAGTCAACAGGGAGGGTCTTGATGTGCATATTGTGTGGGAATGAAAAGCCCTCTCCTCCAGCCTAGAATAGCAAGTCCACTTCTGCTGGGATCAAGACATGTTGTGTGTGTGTTTTAATAAATGTTGGTTCAGATAATATAAATAGTGTCTCTGAATTATATCAATGAAAAGTGGAAAATACTTGAGGGAATGCATACAAATGATGGCCAAGCACGTGTGTTGAACCAGAGAGAGGTAACTACATCCAGGGCCTGCTAGCTACTATGCTCTACATCGCCTCACTCTGGGACTACAGCACAAAAAGAACCTTCTAGGTTTAGACCAGTAGTTCCCAAGCCTGGGTCCCCAGATGTTCTTGGACCGCAATTCCCAGAAATCCTGGCCAGCACACGGAGTGGTGAAGACCTCTGGGAGTTTTAGTCCAGGAACATCAGAGGACCCAAGGTTATTAACAAGGTTGTGTTTAGCTTACCACCCTGTTTCAACTCATGGTCCAATCAGATGTCCTCTTGATTAGGTCTAACAGTAGGAACCGCGCTTTGATCTCCTAGAAGGGAGCTGGCCCAAACTTCTCCTGGTCTGTCAGTTGACGCAAAGGCGCGCTCCTCAGAGCACACACCGTGCCGCAGCACGGGTGGCGGGCCCAATCGCCCTCCAAAGGCCTCTTCTGATACTCTGGCCCTGGCCGGATCACACGCCGCCCTCCCCCAGGATAATTCAGAGGGAAAACTGACACCTTCCATTCCAGGGGTTCAATACCTCGGCCTCTGACTCCCGGAAAGGACGGATCTGGCAATAGTCCCCCTCCTGTCATCAGGTTAGGAAATCCCGGTGTCGCTCCAGACGTTTGGCTTTGCTCGAGAATGGGCTCAGTTTGGACCCCTCTGTGCCTTGGTCTGTCAGCGTTCAAGTCTGTCCAGGTTCTAAATTCCCGCGCGCCTCTCTCCTCTTTTATCTCCTCCCACATGATTAGATCCACCTCCTCCCCTCCTTCTTCCACAAGACACACCTCTTCGGCCCTCTCAGTCACCACCTCCGTCTGGTCCAACTCTATCAGCACCCCTTCCACACATCCGCCTTCCTCTACATCATCATCCTTTTTATCGGAGGACGGCACACTCTCTTGCTCTCCTTCACACGCCCCCCCTTCCGAGTGGGCCGTCCTCGTCTCCAGTTCGGCCTCCCCTCTGTCCTGTTGAGAGAAATAGTCCGCATTAGAATGGGCTGCCCCCTTTTTGTACTGTACCTTAAAAGAATAAGGCTGTAAGCTCAGATACCACCTGGTAAGCCTAGGGTTAGTGTCCTTCATTCGGTTCAGCCACTGTAAAGGGGCATGATCCGTCACTAAAACGAAGGGGGCTCCTAACAAGTAGTATCTCAACGCATGAACGGCCCATTTAACTGCCAATGCCTCTTTTTCTATGGTGGCATACTTCCTCTCCCGATCACTCAGCTTTTTGCTCAGATACATTATAGGGTACTCTACCTCTCCCTTCCTCTGGGATAGTACCGCACCCATGCCTCTATCCGAAGCATCCGTTTGTAATATAAAGGGAAGAGAAAAATCCGGAGCGAAACGACTAGGTAGAGATGATAATATCTCTTTCAACTCCTCGAAAGCTCTTTGTTCTGGCGGACCCCGATCAACTCGACTCTTCTTCCTTTTTCGGGTTAAGTCGGTAAGGGGTGCCGCCACTTCAGCAAAATGTGGTACAAATTGCCTGTAATAACCAGCTAGCCCTAGGAACTGTTGGACCTCTTTCTTATCACGCGGAACCGTCCAGGACACTACCTTGTCTACCTTGTCAGACACGGGTTGAATCCTTCCTCCCTCTATTCGGAACCCTAAGAATTTAACTCCTTTCCTGGCCACCTTGCACTTGGAAGGATTAACCTTCAGCCCGGCTTTCCCGATTTCTCTCAAGACTCTCCTCAGGTGTTCGATGTGTTCCTCCCAAGTCTTGCTGTATATCAAAATATCATCAATATAAGCACCCGCAAAGTCTTTTACTGGTTCCAACACTCGATCCATAAGCCTCTGGAAAGTTGCGGCCGCTCCATGTAGCCCAAAGGGCATCTTTTTAAAATGGAACAGCCCCTTAGGGGTGACAAAGGCAGTTTTCTCTTGGTCTTCCTTCCTCACCGGAATTTGCCAGTAACCTTTAGTGAGGTCTATTGCAGTCAGGTAAACGGACCCTCCCAGCCTTTCTAATAAGTCATCCACTTTGGGCATTGGGTAAGCGTCAAATTTAGAAATTTCGTTAAGACGCCTGAAATCAATGCATACTCTAACTTGCCCGTCTGGCTTAGGAACTAGTACTGGATAGCTTCGCCAAGGGCTGCGGGAGGGTTCTATAATACCCAACTTTTCCATCTCTGCTACCTCGGCGTTGATGGTATCTCTCAAATGGTATGGCCAGGTACGATCCCCCATTCTAGCAACCATCCCCGGCGGTGTATGTATCTCATGCTGAATGAGATTTGTCTCTCCTGGTATGCCTGAAAATACCTCTTCGAATTCCTTTTCTAACCTCCTCAAATCTCGTTGCTGGGACTCTTCTAGAATTTCATCGACCTCCAACCGTAGGTCTTTGCTTAGACACATACTTATTTCTGGACCAAATTCCTCTCCTACTTCCCCCCATAGGGCTTCTCTTTCTTTCCACTCCTTCAACAAATTAACATGAAAAATCCCGTTCTTTTTGGTTCTATCCGGCATGTATATCTCATAATCCACCGCCCCCACTTTCCTGACCACCTCATAAGGGCCTTGCCACGTGGCAAACAGTTTGGCTTGTTCGGAATGCATCAATAGCAAGACTTTCTGGCCCGGGTGAAATTCTCTGACCTTTACTCTCTGGTCATACCTTCTTTTCTGTCCTTCTTGGGCACTTCCCAAATGGTCTTTTGCAATATTCAGGACAGTTCTCAAATGGTCCCTCATTTCAATCACGTGCTGTACCGTGATCTGAGCATCATCCTGACCCTCTTCCCACTTTTCCCTCACCAAATCCAGTATACCTCTGGGATTCCATCCGTACATTAGTTCAAAAGGAGAGAAACCCGTAGATGCCTGTGGTACCTCTCTGATGGCGAACATTAGTGGAGCTACCAATACGTGCCACCTCCTAGGTTTTTCCATAACTAATTTCCTTAACATACCTTTGAGAGTTTTATTAAAACGCTCCACTAAGCCATTGGTTTGTGGATGATAGACCGCGGTATGAATAGGTTTGACTTCTAGTAGGTGCCACATCTCCTTCAGCGTAGTGCTCATGAAGTTGGTCCCTTGATCCGTTATGACTTTTTTAGGGAAGCCAAGTCTTGCAAATACCTGCATCAGCTCGCGCGCGATTACCTTGGCTGTGGTGGACCTTAAGGGGATAGCCTCCAGGTACCGGGTGGCATAATCCACCAACACTAAAATGTGGGTATGACCTCCTGCTGATTTAACCAAAGGTCCTACTATGTCTAGGCCGATTCTTTGGAAAGGGTGATCCATAAGGGGCATAGGCATTAATTCAGCCCCCTTTGCTGGGCGTTTTTGCGTTTTTTGACATTGTGGGCAGGTAACACAATACTCTCTGATCCCTTTTTCCATGCCACCAAAACCTTTGCCTAATTCGTGCTTTCATTTTTTCCTCTGCCAAATGCCCAGCTAGGGGTACGTCATGGGCCAGTTCCATTACCTTACTTCGCCATTTCAGGGGTACCACTAGCTTCTTCCCCCCGTCTCCCTCCACCCTATACAACAATCCCCTATCCAACTCCCATCCCGTTTGCCCCTTCACCACAGTTCCCACCGGTTGGGCTGCTAGCAAGGGTTCTCGAAGCGATGCGTCGTCTTGCTGCATCAACCGCATCTGTTCCCGCGAGGCGCGCTGCAAAAAATCGGACTGTTCTTCAGCTTTCATCATTTCTCCCTGCAATCCCTCCTTGATCTTCCCCACGTCTCTAGTTCCGACCCAATCTCTTCCCAGAAGCATTTCCCTTGATAACCCAGGCACCACACCTATATTCATCCTTCGTTCTTCTGACCCTACTCTCACAGTGGCCCACAAAGTCTGATACTTCTTTATGTCCCCATGTATGCAGCGGACAGTCAATCCCTCTTCTTTTTTCTGTCCCATAAGGTCCCGTACTAGCGTTTTGGACATCCTGTGTCTATCAAAGCCTTTTTCTTTTCTCCATTCACCCAGGCTTCCACCTCCCACCTCTCCGATGAATCCGTTTTGGGGGGGGAGGTTTGTCGTACAGCCCCACCCACGAACAGTCAGCCCCCGGGCAATTCCTCCTCATGTGGCCGGGGACCCCACAGGCAAAACAGACAGGGCGCCCCTCTTTGTTTTCGCGTACCCCTGCTGCGGGAGTGTAAATAGGGCGCCCATCCTTGCCCTCTCTCCATCCCGTCCCTGGAGCATAGATCCGCTGATCCACAGTTACCGGGCGCACAGGCTTGGATCCGAATGGTTCAAACATCTTTCCCTTGGGTCTCGGCGTTCCGCTCGGCTCTACTGCTGCCCGCGCACTGGAATTAGAAAACGAAAGCAAAGCCTCTCCGCCGCGTGGTTTAACTTTCTCCGCCCACGGGGCGTTGCTTTCCTTTGCAGCTTCCTCCGTCACACTATAATCCTCCAATAAGGAAATCGCTTTTTCCAGGGTCTTCGGGTTGTTGCGTTGAATCCAGTTTTTCGTGCCAGCTCCCAACGTCTGCACTAGCTGTTCCATAACAATCAAATCTACCACGCGCTCACTGTCTTCTCCATTAGGTTTCAACCACCTCAAGGCGTTTGCCCTCATCCGTTGCGCCACTGTGCGGGGGTGGGAACCCGGCTTCCATTTTAGATCTCTCAGTCTTTTACGATACGTCTCTTCGGTCAAATTTAACGTACGGAGTATAGCTCTTTTTACTGAATCATATTGGGCGGCCTCCTGTGTACTCAACGTATCCACCACTTCCTGCAATAACCCCGTAAGGCATGGAATCAAAATAAGGGTCCATTGTTCTCTCGGCCACCCAGCTGCTACAGCCACTCTCTCAAAGGTATGCAAATAGGCCTCAGGATCATCAGAGCTAGTCATTTTCTGCATTCGAATGGGGGCGGGTCCCGCTATCAAGCCCCCCCTTACTGCCGCTG